TTAATAAGTTACAAAGGAACTCACTTAAAATCTGGATCCTTGTATTCATTCATGTCAGCCATCTGCACGACTTCTCCATGGCTAAATTTGCATTTTTCATCGAAGCGGCATGTTCCAGCAAGGAAGTGAGAACACGGTCGCATTCCATTCAACATTGGATGGCTGTACAGAACTTTGGCCTACAAAAAGCCAAAAGAAGTAAGACTAGAAAATCTTGAGATCGATACTGCATATCGATACCTGCAAGCCTTTGTCAGGACCAGTGACATCTTGCGGTAAAACTTCTAGAATTATAGCAGCATGATGGGATATCGGTAGTTGTGCTTTTGGATAAGGTGCCATGCAACGCATTCCAACGAAGTCGTCTAAAGCACCTCGTATAGCAAATAAGCAACCACAGCAAAGAAAGCATTGAAGTGTTAGTCATACCGAAATTCTCAGCATTATCGGCTTCAGCGGCCGGAGTTTGAGCATCTTCAGCACTCCCACATTCTTCAGCCTGAAGCACAGTGCTGAAGAAAGCAGTGAAGTGGGAACAAACCAACCTGTTCATTCAGCAGTTGTATTAGTTCAAGTAGATCTGATCGCATTTCAAGCAGAGACGTACGCTCATCATCATCCGTGGTTATTGTTAACTGTTGATCAATTACCGCTACCTGAAAATGGACCGAAGATATATGTCAACACGTTCAAATTCATATACAAGCGAATTTTAAGCGACTATGAGTCTTTATCGAGGCCAGCTTTCAGTTCGCTACTATAATAATTAGTCATTCGGTACTCGTATTAGCACCAATGAGCCGCATTGTTGGGAACAATCCCCGCTAGAGAGATACAGAAACAACTATTATCTACAATCTCACTTCAACTGACAAACCCAAAAATGTGAATGGGCTAATTTTGCCGTGAAAGATTATTGTACGCTTAACACGAACTTATGAATTCGCAGTTGGCGTCAACAACTTCCGGGGCTCTATTCGTTATCTCAAAACTCGAGACAGTATGAAAAGTGAGCTGTTCATTAGAATAATATCATTGTACGTTAGAAAAAGTTTTAGTTGTCGCATAAAGCTGTTTCGTAGAAAGGGATCCTTCGCATAATTAAGACATCATGGACTTGATCAGCATGCTTAGTGACTTCAGACAAAGTTACATCGTGTATCTACCGTAACCAAAGAGAACGGCGCTATCGCGAGAAAATATGACGTTTGTCATCAACGTGCTAAGAGATCCACGTCATAAACACAACCCTGTGAACATATTTACTTCTTGCAAGACTCAGATAAAGTAGCCAATCGAAATGCTGCAAAACCACGTTTTTTTTTAAGATTTGCGCATGTTCGCTCGCTCGTCTCGTTAACAATATTTCGACAAAATGAATTC